TCCCGAGATCTGTTTAGGCCCCTCTCCCGAAGAACCGATCTTCTTTTTGTATAGAAGAAGCAAACTTGTGATAATCCTTGAATCTTGGTGTCTTCACCACAAAGCCTTGAAGCTGATATATTTTCTATAAAAATCATGTATCACGATGGAGCAATAAAAATGAGAGAAAAAAAATATTTTCTCTTGAACTTCTCTCGATGAAAAAGTTGTAGAAGCAACAAAGAAAGGAAAAATATTTTTTCTCTCAAAAAAGCACGCAACAGCAACAAGAAAAAGAGAAATCTTTTTCTCTCCAAAAAGACGCCAATAAAAACGAGAGTAAAGAAAATATTCTGTGTAATTTTTTCTCTCCAATAAGGCGTGAAGCCTTATGCTGAGATTGCTCTCCTTTTATATTCTACGCCATAAGATCCCTATACAAGGAAAAGTTAGAGACCAAAATATTACAAATACGCAAATCACGTAGGAAACTAAATCTTAGACATATAAGAGATTTCTTTGCCAATAAATAATTTCCATATCTATTAAAACTCTAGCAATATATGACAATAAAATATAAAAAAAATAATTATGCTTGTATAAAGATAATTCCCACTGTTAATCAATTAATGATAAAATAAAGAATTAAAACACAAGGAAACCCCCTTTCTTATATTACGACATATCTAGACATGTGGTACAAGTCTTTTACACGTTTCCTTGCGAAGTCAGAATCCAAAGGATTTTAACAATCACGATCCCGTGCTGCTCTCGTATATATGCTCTCCTACGTTTTTTGATTCACTGTATAGCAATGAAAATGAGAGTCCATTAGGGTTATGAAACTTTTTAGAAGAATAATTCCTATTATAAATCAATTAATGACAAATTAAAAGAATTAAAAGCTACAGGGACTCTTCCCTTCTTTAGCTCACGGTATATGCAAACTTGTGGCACAAGTTTTATTTAATTCTCGTATGATTAGAATTCAAGAGATTCTAACAACTATGTTTTGGATCAGAATTGGGACGAACCCCCTTATTTTATTTATTTATTTATTAATTGTTTTAATTTTTTTAATAATTATTTAATCTAGAAGGGATGGCTTTTTTGTAATTTTCAAACTTAGATCAAACGGTGTTAAGGTCAAAGGTGTAAAAACTAATAGCGATGGCCACATTGAGACATTTTTTCAAGTATAAGGGGCCAAATCGATGCAATTGAGAGTAGAAGGGGGTAATGTGATATCGAGCCAAAGTACAAGGGGGCAAATCGATGCAATAGAGAGTAGAAAGGGGTAAAGTAATATTGAGCCAAAGTATAATTGAGGGAGGGGGAATGGAATTTATCCTAATATTGTAAATAACTTATAACGTATTAAAATTTGTTTGGTATTTTCTAAAAAAGGATTTTAAACTTTTTTTAAAATATGTTGTTGAAGAGCTTATAAATTGTTACTAAAAGGTATATATCCCCACAATTTTTATTTAAGATATTAATTATTTATAATATCCAAAATACAAAGATACAGTTATATATTTTTTTAAGAGTAAAAAGCAGTTTACTCCCTAAACAAATGCCCGTTTTGCACTTTGCCCCCCAAACAAATTTTTTTTTACGTTCTTACCTAAACTCCGGTTTTTGTTGCACAGTGCCTCAAAATTGGAATTTTCAGGCCATTTTGACCGAAATCTTACACACGTGCTTTTCACTTGAGTTTTAAAGGGGCAAAAGAGTCTATTCACTTACATTCTTCATAAATAAATAAAAAAAAAAAAGGCTGCTGATCCGCCATTTCTGCACTCAAATCGGCCATTTCGGGAGGCAATTTTTCTTTTTTGGTGTTGTTTTAGATTGTAGTTTTTAAAATGGGGTTGTTTTGGGGGTGTAACCGAATTGGGGTTGAACGTCACCCACCACGGCGGCACCGGCAGAAGGCGCCACCGCCGACGGCGGCACCGACAGGAGACACCAGCTCCAACGGCGTCTCGGTAGGAGACGCCACCGGTGGTGGCGTCTTCTCTTTAAATATTAATATTTTAATATTTTAAATATTTATATTAATATTTTAATATTTTCTGATTTTTAATTTTTTTACAAAATAAAACATTAATGTTAGTATTAAATTTATTACATTTTATATATTTTATCCATTACTGCTAAATTAATCATTGCATATATTTATCTAATCAACACAATAAAATAGTGTACAATCTTAAAAACATATAGACAAAAACAAAAGGAAACAGTGGCAGGATTATTGTCAGACGTGGTTGGGATATGCTCCTTCAGATGGAGCTTTCAAAGGGAGACGGCTCTTTGCAACTGATTTGGCCATACATTTACACATTGTATGATTACTGATGACAGCACGGAGCAGCGTGTTCAGCAGCATACCAGGTGTTTACTGTTATTGCTACTTGGGGGTTATGTGTCCTAACACATCTTCAAGTGCAATCCTTTTGTTTTTGTCTACATGTTTTTAAGATTGTACACTATTTTATTGTGTTGATTAGATAAATATATGCAATGATTAATTTAACACTAGTGGATAAAATATATAAAATGTAATAAATTTAAAACTAATATTAATGTTTTATTTTGTAAAAAAAAGTTAAAAATCAGAAAATATTAAAATATTAATATAAATATTAAAATATTAAAATATTAGAGCAACTCCAGCGGAGGAATTAAATGGAATAACTTCTATTTTGATGCTCCAAAACATAAATTTTCATCTCCAATGGGGGAATTAAATTGGTAGTTATTTTGATATTCAACTTCCCGAGATGCAAAAATGCATCCTGGAAAAAGAGGTATCAAAACATTAACTACCCAACAAACCAATTAAAAATTGATACGTGTCAATATTAAATATATTTATGCTTATATTTAAAATTAGATGATTCATTTAATGCTTGCGGTTGGACTAAATGAGTATTAAAATAATAAAACGAGTATCAAATTAATATTTGATGATCGATTTTGATACTTTACCATTGGAGTTGCTCTTATAATATTAAAATATTAAAATATTAAAATATTAATATTTAAAGAGAAGACGCCACCACCGGTGGCGTCTCCTACCTCGGTGCCGCCGTCGGCGGTGGCGCCTCCTGTCGGTGCCGCGTGGTGGGTGGCGTTCAATTCCAATTCGGTTACACCCCCAAAACAACCCCATTTGAAAAATTACAATCTAAAACAACACCAAAAAAAAAAAATGCACCGCCATTTCGGAACCGGCTTCTTCTTCATCTAGATAAACCACGGCGGCACCGACGAGATCCCCTCTACCCTCATGGTCGATTTTTGAGAATTGTCATGATAATTGCAAGTTCTGAAAACAAGAAATTGACCATTAATCTATGTGATGAGAAGCATTTGTTGAAAGTGTAGATTTGAAGGTTCCTAGTTTTTGCTTGAGGACAAACAAAAGATCAAGTTTGGGGGTGTGTTTAGTGTATATTTTTACACTTTATCGTATCTTTTTATTTGAGCTTTTTGCGTGAATTAACGATAATTGGTGCTTAAAAAATTGATTTATTGTATTCTAGGTACAAATTGAAGAATTGGAAAAGTTTGGGGTCAAAACTGCAATTTTAGAGAAAATATGGGCCAAAAGTGAAATAAACAAAAATGCTGAAAATTGTCTGAAAATGCCCGCGCGGCCGTGCCAAATTTAGCCTATTTTTGGCACGGCCGTGCCAAATGCAGAAGTTGGGCAGAAGGTTTCGGCGATTCTCGTGCGGCCGTGTGAGATTTTGACTGATTTTCGCGCGGCCGCGCCAACACACGCTGGAGACAATTTTGGACTTTTAATCACACAAGGAAACCTAGAATCACCTACCAAGTTGGGACATCTATTTAAGGGCAAACCAAGCACGAATTAAAGACTTTTGGACACAACCTTGGAGCGAGAGGAGCGAGAGAACGAAGAATCGAAGACGGAGAATTGACAACTCTTCATCACAATTCTTCTTTATTCTATCTTTTCTTAATCTATGTGTTTTTATATTTTTATTATGTTTTTCGTAGAGAACATGAGTAGCTAAGTTTTTAATCTAGGATTTTGTTGGAACCCTATGTGGGGATGGTGAACCCGTTTTCTTGAGATTATGCAATTATGATTTTATGATTATTTCTTATACTTGTTATGATTGTTAGTGCATGAACTTGATCAATTTATGTGTTTTATCTGTGATTATTGGGATTGACTCGACAGAGCTATTTTGATAATTAGACGGTAAGTATAAGAACCTTCGAGTAGTTTTCACCGGATGAGTGTGTCAATTGCATGTGGTGTCGTAGACATACAGATATCACCTTAGGTAGCCATTTACGAGACTTGTTATTTAATGCTTTATTCATAATTGGTTTGCATAGACATATAGTGAATCGGTTATAAATAATAGACTCATAATACACGCGACAGCGGGTTATGAGTAAATTAGTGTCTCGGGTTAATAATCATGAATCATATATTTCATAATTGAGGGGTTTTGGGTGAGCAATTCTTGCATAGGGGGAAGATAAAATCCTAGGTCCGTTTTTATTGATATTTTCTCGTGTTTAATTGCTGTCATAATTAGTTTAATTATTTAGTTGATTAAATTTGACAACTTTGCGTAGGCTGGATAAAAATCATAATTGTTAGAATTTGGTACTTAGGATTAGATAATTTGAGTATTCCCTGTGGGATCGACATCCGACTCTCACGAATCCACTTTTACTACTTGTTTGCGATACGTGCACTTGCGTGTTAGGTATTTAGCACCCAACAAGTTTTTGGCGCCGTTGCCGGGGAATACGGCTAAATTATTTATTTATTCTGATATCAAATTTGAGCAATTTTTCTTACTTCAGCCATTTAATTTTAATTTTTTTATTTATTTTAATTTTGATTTTTTGTTTTTTTTTTTTTTTTTTTTTTTTTTTGTTACATGTCTGGTTACAATGTTGGGGCACCTCAAACGTGATATGAATGGCTTCCATCTGACGAATACCTCCAAAACACCTATTATATGCCTCCGTTTTGTTCCACCTGTGGTGGATATCATTATTCCGATCAATGTTGGGGATCACCAAAAGCTACAAATTTCATCGAAATTACCAACGGAGGTTATTGGAACACTTACACCAACACATACGAGCAAAGCTTTCAAGACCAAGATTTGAACGAGTTTCAACATAGAGAGCCACAATTTGATGATTTTCAAAATTATTATCCAATGCAGCAGCAGACCACTGATGAACAACTTGATTTGGTATCCCTTATTGCCGAATTCATGAAGTCCACTCAATCATCATTTCGAAACATGGAGATACAACTGGAAGAGATGACGCTCAAATTAAAATCTGAGTCTCTTGAAAATATTCCAGACGAAATCGGCAATGGTTACATCGAAGAAAATTCGGGTGAAGCCTGCGGTGAGAAAAATCTTCCATGTCCAGAAAATAGTGTCGATATGAGAGAAATAGAAATTACGAAGACACTTGAGCATGATGAATCTGAGAAGGCAATCGAGCTAAACCACGAAGATGCCTCAGAACAAGAGAAGAAGGAGATGGATGTAATGATTGAAGATATTCTAGTTGTGGACCCTGTCGTTGATCTAAATGTAGATTTAAAGGCATCAATAGAGGTTGATGAGAAGACGAATGTGTTTGAAGTGGAGGTTATACGCGGACGTGAGGTTTTTGTGTACCGATTTGAGGGAGCGGGTGATGAAGATCCCATCTTAACTTCGTACCGATTGATTACAACCAAGAAAGACTACAAGCTAAGGTGGACCCTGATATATTGCAATGCTATCCATGCCTTGGTTGCAATTGAAGTGATAGAGCTCATGGATGAATGCGCAATCTACAAGGCTTTGGATTGGACATAACAGTTTTAAAAAGCAAAGTCTGGCTGAAGACTTAAAACTTAGCGCTTCTCGGGAGGCAACCCAAGCATTTATCGATTTTCGTATTTTATTTATTCTATTTTGTTTATCATAAGAATTACGAGTAGCTAAGTTTTTAATCTAGGATTTTGTTGGAACCCTATGTGGGGATGGTGAACCCGTTTTCTTGAGATTATGCAATTATGATTTTATGATTATTTCTTATACTTGTTATGATTGTTAGTGCATGAACTTGATCAATTTATGTGCTTTATCTGTGATTATTGGGATTGACTCGACAGAGCTATTTTGATAATTAGACGGTAAGTATAAGAACCTTCGAGTAGTTTTCACCGGATGAGTGTGTCAATTGCATGTGGTATCGTAGACATACAGATATCACCTTAGGTAGCCATTTACGAGACTTGTTAGTTAATGCTTTATTCATAATTTGTTTGCATAGACATATAGTGAACCGTTTATGAATAATAGACTCATAATACACGCGACAGCGGGTTATGAGTAAATTAGTGTCTCGGGTTAATAATCATGAATCATATATTTCATAATTGAGGGGTTTTGGGTGAGCAATTCTTGCATAGGGGGAAGATAAAATCCTAGGTCCGTTTTTATTGATATTTTCTCGTTTTTAATTGCTTTCATAATTAGTTTAATTATTTAGTTGATTAAATTTGACAACTTTGCGTAGGCTGGATAAAAATCATAATTGTTAGAATTTGGTACTTAGGATTAGATAATTTGAGTATTCCCTGTGGGATCGACATCCGACTCTCACGAGTCCACTTTTACTACTTGTTTGCGATACGTGCACTTGCATGTTAGGTATTTAGCCCCAACAAGTTTTTTGGCGCCGTTGCCGGGGTATTATCTTAAAAAATTGCATGTTAATATTCCTTTTGTTGAGGCACTTAAGCATATGCCGAATTGGGTTAAGTTTATAAAGGAACTTGTATCGAAGAAGATGAGGCTTCCGGAGTGTGCAGCAATCATAGACCTCAATGAGCAAAGTAGTGCTATCCTTGCAAATAAAATTCCACCGAAGCTTAGAGATCCGGGCAGTTGTACCATTCCATGCACAATAGGTACTAGGTATTTTGGGCGGGCGTTTTGTGATCAAGGGACGAGCGTAAATTTAATGCCTTTATCAATTTATGAGAAATTGAATTTAGGAGAAATTAAGCCTACTTCCGTGACCTTGCAGCTAGCCGATAGATCTTTTACTCACCCTTTAGGTATAGTGGAGGATGTGTTGGTCAAGATAGATAAGTTTATACTCCCGGCCGATTTTCTAGTACTAGACATAGAGGAAGATGAAAATATTCCCCTTATCTTAGGACGCCCCTTCTTAGCAACCGGTAGGTCAATTATTGATGTAGGAAAGAGAGAGCTAAGAATGAGTGTGGGGGAAGAAACAGTGATCTTCAAGGTGTACCGGGTGGATGAAAAGCCTATTACGGCTAATGGATGTTATCTTCTTGATGAGGTAAGTGATTCTAAACTTTTTCCTGTTAAATTACATGATTTAAATTTTTTTGTGGATACTAATGTGCATGTAGGAGAACAAAAGAAAAAGGTTGAGTTGGTTACAACACCTACTCAAAACACCGTGATAAAAGACGATGTTGGCAAGCCTCATGACATCAAGAAGAATAAATTCAAGGGCAATCCTAAGCGAACCAGTCGAAAGAAGAATCGGATCAACCCATTTATTCAAGACTTTCTCCAAAAGGAAGTAAGGAGATGGGTTCAAAAGCTAAGGAATTGAAGAGCAGGAACAAAGTCTGGCTGAAGACTATAAACTTAGCGCTTCTCGGGAGGCAACCCGAGATTTTCGTTTTTTTATTTATTTTTCTTGTTTTATTTTGTTTATTTATTTTATAAGCATGCAAACTAACAAATTAAACATGTTTTTAATTTTTAGGACCAAAAATCGCAAATTTGCAGCTCATACGGCCGTCCCAAAACAAGGCTTAATTTCACACGGCCGTGTGAAAAATCTGGAAGCTACTGCCCAATTTTGGTAATTCGTACGGCCGTGCGGAAAACAGTTCAAAATCTCATACGGCCGTGCGAACCTCAGCTGAAGCATAATAAAGGCGAGGGTGGAAGAGCAGCCTGGACATGGCCAAAACGACTTATTCAGGTGTATTCTATCCTTAAACTTCGTGCTAATTACATTGAGGGCAATGTAAATTTTAAGTTTGGGGGTGGATAATTACTTGTTTATGTGCTTTAATTTTTTAGTTTGCATGCCTTAGGATTTTTTTTTTATTTTAGTTGTTTTAGTTTATTTATTGCTTTCGAAAAAAAAAAAGTTTGAGATAAATGCTTCGATGAATCATGATGATGAAAGATGGTTGATGTTTAATGATGAAATTACTTGCTTTACTTGATTGTGATTGAATTTTGGTGAGCTTTTGATTCAAAGTGTCGTAGGAAGGAGTCATTGTTAGGAATCACGAATTATGCCTTGCTTTGGTTGAAAGTTTTGTGTTTTAAAACGTGGTATAAATTATGCTATATCATATGCTATTCGGTTTTAGAACTTGCCTTAGGAATTTACAAAGTGAAATATTAAATTGTTGAGCAATTTGGGAAGTGATTTGGGCCATCTTTGAACCGTTTGAGCCTTTCAAGCCTACCTTTAAATTTTTATCATTCGAACCTTGATTGAGCCTTGGAGAAACGGTGTTCTTTCTTTTAGCCAATGTGTATAAGGTAGAATAAATGGAGATTCTTGAAAAATTACCCTTTGGAGTTCGGTTGGAAATTTTATAAGGTCCTTCTTCTTCCTCAACCAAAAAAAAAAAAAAAGAAAAAAAAAAAAAAAAAAGAAGAGAAAAAAAAAAAAAAGAGAAGAAAAGAGAGAAAGAAGAAGAAGAGACTAGAAGGGAGATGAAAGGACTAGTTGTTGAATTTTTGTTTGAAAGCTCGATCCATTGTCTTAAGAGCAAAAGTGGAGACTTTTGAACTCTTAAAAATCGAGTTTATTAAAAGTCCTTGGAGGTGAATTCATTGTTTCAAACGCTTATCTTTCAAAATTTGGCGTAATCACCTCTATTCAAGAAGCATAGCCACTTATACCCATATCTCCTACCTCGAACCAAAAAGCCCAACATTTGAAAGCCAAAAAGTCCCAATGATCCCAATAGCTCAATTATTTGATACTAGCCGAGTAAAGAAATTTGGTGAGTCTTTGGAGTTGAATATTATTATGTAAGTATAAATTTTCTCCATTTTTAATGTACAAATATGGGATACTTGAAGCGATAGCATGGTTTGTGGTTTTTAGCAATGGTGAGTGAATACGTATCTTTGAATTACGAGCTTGTAAATTTTTGAGAATTGTCATGATAATTGCAAGTTCTGAAAACAAGAAATTGACCATTAATCTATGTGATGAGAAGCATTTGTTGAAAGTGTAGATTTGAAGGTTCCTAGTTTTTGCTTGAGGACAAACAAAAGATCAAGTTTGGGGGTGTGTTAAGTGTATATTTTTACACTTTATCGTATCTTTTTATTTGAGCTTTTTGTGCGAATTAACGATAATTGGTGCTTAAAAAATTGATTTATTGTATTCTAGGTACAAATTGAAGAATTGGAAAAGTTTGGGGTCAAAACTGCAATTTTAGAGAAAATATGGGCCAAAAGTGAAATAAACAAAAATGCTGAAAATTGTCTGAAAATGCCCGCGCGGCCGTGCCAAATTTAGCCTATTTTTGGCACGGCCGTGCCAAATGCAGAAGTTGGGCAGAAGGTTTCGGCGATTCTCGTGCGGCCGTGTGAGATTTTGACTGATTTTCGCGCGGCCGCGCCAACACACGCTGGAGACAATTTTGGACTTTTAATCACACAAGGAAACCTAGAATCACCTACCAAGTTGGGACATCTATTTAAGGGCAAACCAAGCACGAATTAAAGACTTTTGGACACAACCTTGGAGCGAGAGGAGCGAGAGAACGAAGAATCGAAGACGGAGAATTGACAACTCTTCATCACAATTCTTCTTTATTCTATCTTTTCTTAATCTATGTGTTTTTATATTTTTATTATGTTTTTCGTAGAGAACATGAGTAGCTAAGTTTTTAATCTAGGATTTTGTTGGAACCCTATGTGGGGATGGTGAACCCGTTTTCTTGAGATTATGCAATTATGATTTTATGATTATTTCTTATACTTGTTATGATTGTTAGTGCATGAACTTGATCAATTTATGTGTTTTATCTGTGATTATTGGGATTGACTCGACAGAGCTATTTTGATAATTAGACGGTAAGTATAAGAACCTTCGAGTAGTTTTCACCGGATGAGTGTGTCAATTGCATGTGGTGTCGTAGACATACAGATATCACCTTAGGTAGCCATTTACGAGACTTGTTATTTAATGCTTTATTCATAATTGGTTTGTATAGACATATAGTGAATCGGTTATAAATAATAGACTCATAATACACGCGACAGCGGGTTATGAGTAAATTAGTGTCTCGGGTTAATAATCATGAATCATATATTTCATAATTGAGGGGTTTTGGGTGAGCAATTCTTGCATAGGGGGAAGATAAAATCCTAGGTCCGTTTTTATTGATATTTTCTCGTGTTTAATTGCTTTCATAATTAGTTTAATTATTTAGTTGATTAAATTTGACAACTTTGCGTAGGCTGGATAAAAATCATAATTGTTAGAATTTGGTACTTAGGATTAGATAATTTGAGTATTCCCTGTGGGATCGACATCCGACTCTCACGAGTCCACTTTTACTACTTGTTTGCGATACGTGCACTTGCGTGTTAGGTATTTAGCACCCAACAGTGGGCATGGTTTCTTAGGCGGCTTGTAAACCGGTGGCTTAGAAACGAGTGGCTTGTAAACGGGCGGCTTGTAAACCGGTGGCTTAGAAACGAGCGGTTTACAGGGGGCTTATAAACGGGCGGCTTAGAAACGGGCGGCTTGTAAACTGGGGGTTTGGAAACGGGCAGCTTGT